TTGTTACTGTTCTCTTTAAGGAAGGGGACTCAGTTTCCTGTCACCCTCTGGCTCTCCCACAGCTGTGCCCACTGATTTTTGAAGTTCTAGACGTTAAGCCCCACTGATTGTAAGAACTCTCAAAGTTAATCCCCTCTGGTTTTTAAAGCCAAATGTTATGGGGATTTGTCCTCCCAGTGAGAGTCCCCTGTGCCTGGGGTGCCTGGTGTGGAGTTTGCTTCTCTCCCGACTCTGTGCCCACAGCATCCCTACCTCACAAGGACAGTCCTACAGGTCACTTTGGCTCCCAACTGAGTTTCTCACAACCCTAAGATCAAGAGTTGCACGCTTTACCAACTGAGCCAGCCAGGTGCCCCTCTTAGGGTTCTTTCTAGTCATCATTTTTTTATTTTTGGTGGATCATTCCTTATTTTTTGTAATTGTTTACTTTGAGTTCATCTGTAGTGAGATGGTTTTCCCATGGAAATCCTGTGGAACCAAGGTTGTGAGAGAGACCCTCTGGATAGTTGTACATTTTCTTTGGCCAGGCACCCTAAGGGTATCACCAGCCAGGTACAATTTTTCTGTTAATCCATCAGTTTTGGAATTCTTGTACTCCAAATTTATGTGCGATGCAAACCCAGCAATTCTTTGCTTCTTTACCCAGAAGACTTAAAAGCTCTCCTTTCCTCTCACTTTTCTAGCAGGATTGTTTTCCCAGTTAGCCCTGTAGTCTCCTTCCAGAGCCTCCTCTCCTTGGCCAAACCTGGGCAGAAGCCAACTGCAACAGGAGCTTATACAAGCAGCCTGTGGGGTTGGCTTTCCTGCAGTACAGAGCAGAGGAAAGGTGAGAAACAGGTCTGGGGACCAACCCAATAGTCTACCATTTGACAAATATTTCCTGGTCAAAACACTGTGTTAAATTTGATATTATAGAACTGTGGGAGATACAGTCCCTGACCCCCAGTGGGAGAGACAAACATACTAACTATATAGAGGTGAACTGCACCACTGGTTACATTATGTAAAATGTTAAATACAGATGCAAACTAGTCTGGAAGCACAAAAAAGAGGCAGTCTGGGGGTCAGTGGGACAGGGATGGGAAAGATTCCCCAGAGGAGGGTCACCTGAGCTGTGCAGGTTAGTAAGATGGCTCTGTGTGGATAAGAGGGCCATGGGCAGTGAGTATGGCATGTACAGCACATTATGAGGACTGAGCCCGGGCCAGGGTGGCTAACAGGCAGGCTCTGTGGTCAAAGGTGAGGCTGCAAATGTAGGCCATGGGTGGATTATGGAGACTCTGGAGCCCTGTGCTACTGAGCTAAGACTTTATTCTGCAAAGAGCAGAAGCCACTAAAACACTCTGTTAGGGAAGGAACATAAAGAATGTTCCAGCTGGCTTGAGCTGTTCAATAGAAAAATAATGTAAAGTCACAAATGCAGCCCATATGTAATTTAAAATTTTCCAAAAGCCACATTTTAAAAAAGTAAAACATGAAATTAATTTGAATAACCTTTTTACCTAGCTCAGTATTATCCAAAATATTGCCATTTTAATATGCGGTCAACACAAGAATTATTAATGCATCATTTTATGTTCTGGATTTTTTTGTACCAGGTCTTTGACATCTGGCGTGTGTTTTACACTTAGAGCACTTCTCTGTTTGGACTGGCCACGGTTCAGATGCTCAATAGCATTTGTGTTGCTAATGGCTAACATGTTGGACAGTGTGGGGGAGAGGACAGCAAGGAGTCCAAAGGAGGGGGTCAGTTAAGGATGCTGGCTTCAGGAAGAAACGGGATCTCCTCATCCCCTGACATAGGAAGGAAGTACAGGGGTGAGTGAGCAGGGAGGTGAAGGGCAACAGTATGAGGACTGCCATGCCTTTATTTCTTTTCCCTGACATCAAAGGTAAGAACACCTGAAAGTGAGGGTTGGGGTCAAGTTGGAAACTTGAAGAGAATAAAAGTTTAAGAACCATTGTAATGAAACGCCAAGGGGTATGTTAGAAGTGGCGTATAAGGATGGTCCCTACATTCATCCTGATAAAACTAATGTCATGTATGTTCCTGCCTTAGAAATGATAAAATAGGGGTGCCTGGGTGGCATAGTCAGTTGAGCTTCTGACCTTTGGTTTCAGCTCAGGTCATGATCTCAGGATCCTGAGATCAAGCCCCACATCAGGCTCTGCGCTCAGCACAGAGTCTGCTTGGGTTTCTCTCTCATTCTCCCTCTGCCCCTCCCCGCCCTCTAAAATAAATTAATTTTTAAAAATGATAAAATATCTGAGACTTTTCCTCTTATTCCAGGGTACAGAGCAGATAGGCTGATGCTTGTGGGTTTTACTGTAAATTGTTTCCCGAAGTGTGATACACATATCCCCATGGTACACAACATGATGGCACACAAAATAGTAGCTGGGAGGACTTGTTGGTTGATTGGTTGGTTGGTTTTTTAAGCAGGCTCCACGCGTTGAGCCCAATGCAGGGCTTGAACTCATGACCCTGAGATCAAGACCTGAGCTGAGATCAAGAATCAGATGCTTAAACGACTGAGCCACTCAGGCGCTGCATAGGAGGACTTGTTTTATTCTAATGGTTATGTATTTATCTTAGTGAGTATTAGGAGAAACATAATCAGTACATAAAACCCATGATTCCCTACATATTTAAGTCCAGCATGCGTAAATTTACAGAGAAGCATTATGGAAAGCAGAGGTGGAATGTGGATGTGGCAGAAGGTGAATGGCTGAAATCTATAAACACGAGTGTAAGAGGTGCAGTCACCTCAGAAACTTAGAACCGCTTCCAGTGGCTTCCATCCCAGTCAGCTGGTAACTCTGACCCGTGATCCTGGGTCGCATCACCATCAACATTTCCCCTCCAGCCCTGCTGCTACACACAACCTAGTCAGACAGGCGTCAGTGTTAGCTTTATGGGGTCAGAACACCTGGCGTTCCCCCCAGCAGAACAGAACAATCCGATCCCCAGAAAAGCTGGGTAATTTTGAACATGACAGTGGCCCCATGATGTCTTCTTGAAAGCACCAAACACAACCTGCCTTATTCTATTTCTGTTTTCCTGTGAGAAGAATTTTTTTAAAGCTGTTGGCAACATATACAGAAAATAGACCAGTTGTCTTCTTTAGAACTGTTAGCCCAAGTCTATACAAAACATATAAAACCTCAAAGACAAGCAGAAAGAGAAACTGCCCTGAAAAGCCCAGTCTGATCCTTGCATTTTCTGCCTCTGTGGCTTTATGTGTTTGTTCCCAGTGCCACAGAAGCACGTCCCCGAGCAGTGCCTCTGGATCGGCCCCCACCTGCCCCATGATGAAGGCCGGGACAGGGTTACGCCCTCCACCTGCTGCCCTTCATGGTCACCTCAGCCTCGAGGGTCATCCACGCCTCACTCAGCTTTCTGTCTCCTTCATATTGTAGCTTGCTGGGTACCTACCTGCTCTTTCTTTTGGTCTGAGGAAGGGCTACCTGAAGTAGTCCCCTGTCACTGTGCATAAAGCAAGCCCTCAGCTACGTACCAAGCAATTCTGGAATGATGTCCCTTCACAGACTGACATTCAGTTCAGCTCCCACATGCCTGTAAATTGATCCAAAGTGAATGCGGTACCGCTCGCCCTGATACGAGGCTGCTAGGGACTCCCCTCAAGGTCTTACGGCTGCGGTGTCCCAGAACCAGTTCTTTGTTCTAGTGGGTTAAGGCAGTGGTCTTGTTGGGAACTGCTGGATCCTGGGAATTTCAGGCTTCCTAACTGTAACACTTTACTTTGAGAAATCTAGATGTTCCTCAAACATTTTTTAACAGTCAGAAATATATTTTACATATCTAACTAAAAGCGTTCATAGAACAATACTTACCAATGCTGTGCTCAAGATAGTTTGTATTTGTTTGTTTGTTTTAATGCTAAGCCTGACCCACAGTTTTATTTTTTTCTTTTTTTTTTTTTAAAGATTTTATTTATTTATTTGAGAGAGAGAGAGAGAATGAGAGATAGAAAGCACGAGAGGGAAGAGGGTCAGAGGGAGAAGCAGACTCCCTGCTGAGCAGGAAACCCGACGTGGGACTCGATCCCGGGACTCCAGGATCATGACCTGAGCCGAAGGCAGTCGTTTAACCAACTGAGCCACCCAGGCGCCCCTGACCCACAGTTTTAAAGATTTATTTATTTATTTATTTGAGAGAGAAAGGGGAGGGAGAGAGGGAAAGAGAGACTCTCAAGCAGACTCCTCGCTGAGGGTGGAGCCCGACACAGGGCCCAGTCTCAGGACCCTGAGATTATGACCTGAGCTGAAATCCAGAGTCGGAAGCTCAACCAGCTGAGCCACCCGGGGCCCCCTAACCCACATTTCTTTTTAAGATTTTATTTATTAGAGAGAGAGAGCATAAGCCAGGAGTTGGGGCAGAGGGAGAAGAAGAAGCAGACTCTCTCCCCGCTGAGCAGGGAGCCCAATGCGGGGCTCGATCCCAGGACCCTGGAAATCGTGACCTGAGCCGAAGGTAGATGCTTAACTGACTGAGCCACCAGGAGCCCCCCCTTTTTTTTTTTAAGATTTTATTTGAGAGAGAGAGAGCCTAACCCACATTTTTAAAAACAAAATTGATAGAAGATTCCACAGACGGCAATCTGGAAAACACTGGTCTCAAGCATTTGATTGATTTAATCATGTCAGTCTCTTCGAAAATGTCCTGAAGTGATGAGAACTGCATAGATTCTTCACAAGTTCAATACAGTTCTGATTTCTCTGAGGCCATGTCTAAAAATCCTTAATCCTGCCATTTATTTGGAAAAGAAGATAGGACGGCATTGAGGTGTTCCAGGCATTGCTGTCTGCTGCCCGGGGGGTCGGGCGGCTTTCGGCACGTGTGCGCCACTCGGCGGCCCGTCGGGCACTCTTTGGAAAGCTGCGCGGCTTTTTCAAGGCACCCAGCACATCTGCTGATAAATGTCCGTTTCCTACAAAGACGAAAAGACTGTTTTGAACCGTACCCTGTCTTTCCGTAGGGTGTGCTGATCTCCAGAGCCTGGACACCATGCAGCCAGTGGAGAGGAAGAGGCAGGGCTATATTCACGAGCTGATTCAGACTGAAGAGCGGTACGTGGACGACCTTCAGCTGGTCGTGGAGGTGAGGGCCGAGCCTGCAGGGGCGGTGGGCCTTGGTCTCAGGTGTCGCCTTTGATGTGTGAATTCACGAGTAATGGCAGGAGCTCCCACGCCCTCAAAACGCTTTCTGTGCCCACGGGAGGGTGCCTGAAGAAGTCAAACTCCTCCCCCAGATTAGGTCATTCAGAGTGGAGAGAGCAAGAGATGTCTCCGCTGGACGTGATAGAGGCCCCATCCGGGAAGGACAAAGTCGGGGGGGAAGGACGAAAGCAAACTTTATCTACCTCACATTTTCGCCTGTGTTTACTGTGCTCTTCTAACACCGGGCATCTTCATAAACCCTGCAATTTCCAAAGGGGTTGTGAAACAGTGGGAGTGTTCATCTAACAATTGTATCAGTTTAGAAAACCAAATCGGACCACATTGTCAAATATATCCCAGTTGCAATGTATTTACTAGTGGTGCCGATTAATGTTCCCAGGGACCTCTGAGCCAGTAATGGCTGTTAGAGTAACACTTAAAAATGGTTTGTGTTTGAGTAAACAAAATAAGACTTGTTTCCATGGCTCCTAGTTCCCACTAAATGTGTCAAGGCCCTCAGATGAGAAGCCCAGTTAAATAAATAAGCCAGCCAAAGAGAACATGTGTCCCCAGCAGGCCCAGCAGGTGCAGCATAGGGCCTGGCCAGGACCTCGCTGGAGGCGTGGAGTGGAGGCTGCATCCTTCTCCATCCGCCCCCAGCAAGGCCTGCCCACCCTGCGCGCAAGCTGGGACCTCCAGACCCGGCACACTTGTCCTGTTCACAAGTACACTCTGGCGCACTTCCCAGTTGGTGATGTCTCTCTTCCCCGCAAGGCTATGAGTTCCTGACGGCAGGGACGTGTGTCCTTCAGCCTGCATCCCCAAAACCCAGTCTGGCCCTTTGCAGGCCTTCCCATCAGCACTGAATGAATTATGTGTGTTTATGTCCGTACTTCTCTGGCCTGGAAAGTGGCCTAGAAGAAAAGCCTGTCTTATTATTAACCCCTCTGAGTATCAGCCCTGCTGCTGGTCAGATTACAGTGCTAAAAGGTTGTAAATGGCTGTGGAAGTACTTGGCGGACTCCAGCGCAGAGCGTGAACAGGGGCCGCAGGCCTGCCCCACTCACACCAGTCACTACACCACTTGCACCTTGGCTATTCCCACCCTGCCCACCTGCCCTTGCCTGAGGAGCAAGGGGTCATGTCAGGGCCAAGCACTTAGGGCGAAAGCACTGTTCATAGGCCAGGCATTCTCATCGCCATCCCCATGGAGGTTCCCAGAGGGCCGGACCATCCTCCCCCGGGAGGTTCCCCGAGGGCCAGACCATCCTCCTCTGCTTAACCACCCTGAGGCAAGTGAGTGGAATGAATAAACAAAGGAACATCCGTTCATTGGCAGGTGAAAGAACAGACCACCAGGTGCTTTCCCTGTCCTTCCCCGGCCCCTTGGAGCAGATCCACCACCTTTCCAGGCTCGTTCCTGTCAGAGGATCCTGACATCTTCGCTCTGATTTTGGAACTGTGAAGGTTTAGAGATGTCCAGTTCTTAACACTGTTAGCTGAATTCTTTGAATCCGTGTTCAACACAACTCAGTAAATAAACAGTAATTGAAGACCTATCATGTGCAAAAAGCACTGTGCTGGAGAACAGAGGGAAAAGAGAAAGTTCCTGCCCTCAAGGAGTTCACAGTCATGTGGAGAGACAGACAGCTACAGAACAGTGAGGTGGGGGCCCGGAGAGGGCTGACCACCCCTACCACAAAGGAGAGTCAGGACAAACCAGAAGGACAAAGATGAATTTTCTACACCAGGAAGAGGAAATAGAAGTAGGAAGGCATGTGCCAGGGAGTTAGGGTCCTGCAGGTAGTCCCATGTGGCTGGAGGGTCAAGTACTCAGGGCCAGACTGGTGAAGTTGGCAGGGCAGACCACACAGGCGTGGTGAACCTCCAGGAGTCTGCGTCTTATCACAGGGCCAACGAATGACTTTAATAGACTGTCGTGTCGTGTGTATCTCAGAAAGATCACACATGAGTAGGGTTGTCTCAGATAACTTCACAGTTTCCTTAAGGCTTTTAAAGTCATTTGCTAGGAATCCCAGTTGTTTAGTGGAAACCAATTAGAATCAAAAAGACTGGCGTTTTCTTTTTGGCTCCTCTGTGTTCTAGGTTTGTGACCTTGAGCAAATCACACTCTCAGCCTTTATTTCTTCATGAGTGCCCTTGGAATAATAATAGCTGAGGGGCGCCTGGCTGGCTCAGTCTGCTGAGGGGCCAACTCTTGATTTCGGCTTAGGTCATGATCTCAGGGTCATGAGATCAATCCCCACCTCGGGCTCTGCACTCAGTGTTGAGTCTGCCTAGGATTCTCTTCCTCTGCTCCTTCCCCCCACCATCTCTAAAATATAAATAAATAAATCTTTAAAAACCACTAATAATAATAGCTGATTCCACTTGACCTGCATCATATATGAAGTTCATTCAGAACCCACCCACACCCGTGTGCACACGCACACACAGGCATGTGCAAATATATACGTATCAGCTTTGTAAATCCTTCAGTGTTGTGGAAGATAGATGTAGGGTATCATTTCCCCTCGGTCAGCCAGCTTCTGAAATCCACATCTGCTTGGGGGCTGTATAAGTCATCACTTTTTCTATTGCTGAACCTCTCACAAACTACTTCCAGGACTCTGGGGTGCCCAGCCCCTCAATTCTGCAGCTTTTACGGGGTGCGGGTGCTTTATGCACATGGTTTCATTTAACCTGCTTCATCTCCGTAGGAGGTAGGTGTGAGAATCTCCTCTTATTGATGAGGCTACTGGACTTGGTCCTTAGAATTAATCCTAATAATGGCTGGCTCAGTCGGTGGAGCATGGGATTCTTGATCTCAGGGTTGTGAGTGCAAGTCCCATGTTGGGCATGGAGCCTACTTTAAAAAAAATAAAAAGAAAGAAAGTATTTGCCCTAATAAGAACCCAAATAGCAAGCAGTAGGGAAATCATGCAATTTAAAATTTAGCCATCAGGGCGCGTGGGTGGCTCAGTCAGTTGGGCATCTGACTCTTGGTTTCAGCTCAGGTCATGATCTCAGGGTCGTGGGATTGAGCTCTGTGTCAGGCTCCATGCTCAGCGGGGAGTCTGCTTGAGCTTCTCTCTCTCCCTCTCCCTCTGCCCCTCAACCCCCCATGCTTGCAATCTTTCTCTCAAATAACTAAAGTAAATTAAATTAAATTTAGCAATCAACAATATGTAAGTGACGAATCATCAAATTTTACTCCTGAAACCAATATTACACTGTATTAACTAACTAGAATTTAAATAAAAATTGGGGGGGGGAAGTTTAGCAATCATAAGTAGGCTTATTTAAAAACATCATGATCATATTAGTTTCAGTATATGAAGATACTGTTTGATTCAGACCACATAGCCTGTGTATTCACACCTAAGCTAACTTATTTCTTTTGTGTCTTGAATTTAGGTTTTTCAGAAACGGATGGTGGAGTCAGGCTTTCTCACTGAAGGGGAAATGGCCTTGATCTTTGTAAACTGGAAAGAGCTCATCATGTCTAACACGAAGCTACTGAAGTGAGTTGTGAGCAGCACCTGCCCCTGCAGTGGACACCCCCAGCCCCCAGGACTAGGACTTCCCCACAGAACTCCCTGCAGGGCTGTTTAGCAAAGGAACTTGCAACTGTCCTCTGCTCCCTCAAGCTTTTTATTTTATTGTCATTTTAGGAAATGCCCTGTAACTGTAAAATACGTAATTATTGAAGTCAAGAAATATAACAAAGAGGGCGCCTGGGTGGCTCAGTTGGTTAAGCGACTGCCTTCGGCTCAGGTCATGATCCCAGGGTCCTGGGATCGAGTCCCATATCGGGCTCCCTGCTCAGCAGGGAGTCTGCTTCTCCCTCTGACCCTCTTCCCTCTCATGCTCTCTATCTCTCATTCTCTCTCTCAAATAAATAAATAAAATCTTAAAAAAAAAAGAAATATAACAAAGAAAATTTGATTCTTTGATTAAACAAAGAAAAAATTAAATCATAAAATAAACAATATATTAACATAGGATTTCAAAATATACTTGACTGTACTGGGTAGTCAGAGTAGGAGAGAAGCTGTAGAGCGTGCCCCAGACATACTGGCTGGTCTGGCAGTCTCCTAAGTCCCCGTGTGAAATTCCATTCCTTGGGGTGATTTCCCATCCCCTGCGCCTGTGAGGGCAGCCTCCGGGGGCGCGGTCAGCACGCCCAGTCGGTGCTGAGTCTCTGCCCTCCTTGGGGCACAGAAGCTCTCCTGAGGACCGCGCTCACCTCTGCCCCCACACCTGGCCTCTGTGGGCCCCTGCTCTGCTCCCTTCTTCCCCTACCAAGTGTAGAAAATTCCTTTCTTCTTGGTTCAGCTGAGAACGAGTTAGAATTTTTCTAAAGGAACTTTGCTAAGAAACGAAGATGAATCCAAAACAATTGCAAGGACCTAGAAATACCCACGTGGATAGAGTTCATTTTCTTACTCTTCTTTACTGACATTGCACCCAGGTTGGCTTGGCCAGCAGAACGTAGGCCCCAGCTGCCGCCTCCTCCTGACTCTCCCCTCCCAGTGCCAGGTTTTTAGGTAACTCACTGGTTCTCATTATCTTTAGTTGGCCACGACGTTCATCCCTTATTTACTAACGACATTCACTAGAAACAGACAGTGAGAGTGTGTTGGTTGCAGGGCCTTGCGAGTCCGGAAGAAGACTGGAGGAGAGAAGATGCCCGTGCAGATGATCGGGGACATCCTGGCTGCCGAGCTGTCCCACATGCAGGCTTACATCCGCTTCTGTAGCTGTCAGCTTAATGGAGCAGCTCTGTTACAGCAGAAGACAGATGAAGACACGGATTTCAAGGAATTTTTAAAGGTAACTCCATTCTGGGATCATGGGCAGGCCAGCCCCGTTCCGAGCCTGGAGGTGGAGACGGACCCTGCACCGTCAGGACGCTCAGCACCGGGAAGGGCATCCCACCACTTTCCAAACACCAATATGGCAAAGACTTTTCTGAGTGTTTGAGTTACCTTCCATGTCCAGTTGACTTTTCTTGGCACTGGGACCATGATTTTGCCCATCTATTAGGAGAGTAGTATTAAAGCCTATTAAATCAGCTACTTTATACTCCAAAAATATCTAGAATGTCACTTTATTAAATTTGTAAAATATATTAAATTTGTAAATTGTATCCATCTCATTCCAGAAAGAGTATAAAATAGCTTACTCAAATACATAAAAAGCAACAAGATAAAATAAAATGTTGTCAGTGGATGAATACAGTGGGACAAAAGGAAATGAGAGACAGGCAACATTGGGACTTAGGTCGCTACGTAAACGCACACGTGTGACCCTATCCATGTGCTCCACATGCACCCCGATGTCCTCAGAGTGTCCAGAAACCACGGAGAAGAGGGCACGATCGGCTCCATGATGCCGTGGCCGCAAATTAAAAACAAACCCTTGGTAAGAAGTAACACTAGAGGGGCGCCTCGGTCGTTAAGCATCTGCCTTCGGCTCAGGTCATGGTCCCAGGGTCCTGGGATCGAGCCCCGCATCGGGCTCCCTGCTCGGCGGTGGGCCTGCTTCTCCCTCTGCCTCTACTGTTCCCGCTGCTTGTGCTCTCTTGCTCTCTCTATCAAATAAATAAAATCTTAAAAAATAAGTAAAAATCTTTTAAAAAATAATTGGATGTTTACCTTCTAAAGCGTAAGTAAAAGATTTTTTAAATTTTCCAAATAGTAATGACAGTAGCAATGTAAGTAGGGTATATCAGCATCATCACAACTGTAACAATAGTAAGGACAAATAAGTGTGTGGTCTCATAATGAACAGCATTGTGTGGATTACATTATATTAAAAACAAAATCTAGCAATAAGCTTTGTTCTAAATGTAACTTTTTATTTATTTTTTTAAAGATTTTTTTTTATTTGAGATAGAGGGAGAGTGAGAGAGAGAGAGAGAGAGAGCATGCACATGAGCAGGGGACGGTGCGGCGGGGGGGCCTGCGGCAGAGACAGAGGGAGAAGCATGCTCCCCACTGAGCAGGGAGCCCAATGCAGGACTCAATCCCAGGACCTCGGGATCATGACCTGAGCCGAAGGCAGACGCTTAACCGACTGAGCCACTCAGGCGCCCCTAAATGTAACTTTTTAAAAAGTCTCAGAAAATACAGAAATAAAAAGTATGAAGATTCTTGTTATAGCAACATATATAGATATATCCAAAAACAAAAGGAGGGAGCAGTTTTAATATCTCATAGTAGGAAATAGGTAAATTATAGTAAATATGCTTTTCAGTCATTACAAATGGTCATCAAAAAATAAAAATAAAAAATGGTCATCCAAAAATACTAGCTACTTTATTCAGGTACTATATTAATAATAGGAGTAGAAGCAAGTAAGTTGTGGTCCTCAGTCTCCCGGGGCTAACAGTGCAAGGTCATGGAGACACCTCCAGTGTGATCTACCTGTCTTACCCAGTCCAGAGGTGGTGTTACAATAAAGGCGTCCACAGGTTATTGTGGGGGCTCAAGAAGGATCACTGAAAAGGAGGGAAGGCGTCAAGGAAGGGGAGAGGCTAGCCAAGAGGAGGCATAATGTGAGTCTTCAGAAATGAGTATGAATTAAGTGACGAGAGAGCAGAAGGAACAGTAGCCAAGGCTAATGCATTCATGACTGGCACATGTGGGTGCTCAGTAAATGGTAGTGATTGTTTCTAAAAAAGCAGAGACAACGGGCAGGCAGAGGCAGGGGAAATCAAGAGCTATTTAGAAGACAGATTGGTGTGGAAGGTGACTCCCAGGTGTGTGGAGGGAAGGTGGGTGGGGGCAGAATGGTGCTACCAGCTCAGGGACGGAGGTGGAAGAGAAGGCTTTCGTGAAGGAAGAGGAGGACTTTGGGGTATACTGAGGTACTGAGTCGGAGATCCAGGTCGGGGGAGAGTAATGCGGCCAGCCTGGAGCTCCAGAGAGGGTCTGGGTGATGCTTCGGGACTCGGCTGCACGGGGTCTCGGGCAGCACCTACGGTTATGAGCTGGTAGAGGAGAAAGAAGTGAGGATCGGGAGGGAGCTGGCTGGGAAGACAGCTGTCAGTGGTTCTGGAAGCAAAGGAGAGAGTGATGGCACAGGCACAAATCCATGTGAGAAAGAGCTGGAAAGCATCTGCTGACTTGACCAAATGAGGGGAGATACCCCTGCTGTTAATCTGATACGTCTCATTTTGAATCCTGAGTTGTTGTTGTTGTTGTTGTTGTTGTTTAAGATTTTATTTATTCATTCATCAGAGAGAAAGGAGAGAGAGCACAAGCAGGGGGAGTGGCAGAGGGAGAAGCAGGCTCCCTGCAGAGCAAGGAGCCCGATGTGGGGCTCGATCCCAGGACCCTGATCATGACCCAAGCCAAAGGCAGACGCTTAATTACTGAGCCACCCAGGCGCCCCTTGAATCCTGAGTTTTTAAGAGAAATGAGAAATCTAAAAGGTGGTCAACATCAGGAGTACAGTCAGTGTTTCCTTTGTTTTCGTTGAAGCTGTGATTTCCTCATGAGCCTCTCGGTTATTTGCAGAAGTTGGCATCTGACCCTCGATGTAAAGGAATGCCCCTTTCCAGCTTCCTGCTGAAGCCCATGCAGAGGATCACCCGCTACCCTCTCCTCATCAGAAGTGTGAGTGTCCTGGCTGGGACAGAGCGGGGCCACAGGGGGCCACGGAGCCCTCCCCAGCAGGCCTGTGAGAGTGCCAGCCAGCCCCACCTCACGGTCTGAGGGGCCAGGCGCCGTGTGTGCGCACGCTTACGTGAATGCGCACATGCAGTCCAGAGTAGGCAAATAAAAGCCATCCAGTGTCACTTGGTGACCCATCCTCCCCTCCCCCTCCCCCAGGAAACTCCCCTGTCCTCTCAGAGTCAGGAGTGTGTTTTTCTGGGCAGGGCAGTCACCCTCTAGGTCTGCAGCTGTGGAGCCTGGCTTGAGCCCAGAGTCCACTGTTAGCACAACCCTGGACTCCAGTCTTTCTGCTGAGATCTGAATTCACCTACCAGCTAAACCCCTTTACCTAGATTATCTCAGGAGCCCTGACTCAGCATGTCCTAACCAGAGCTCATCACCAGCCCCTTGCCTTACCCCACCTCAGCTTGCTAACTCAACAGTCCTAAAATTCCATCCATCTGTTAACATCAGCTATGTGAGCCTCTTGAGCCAACATGCCTTCTAAGGAGCAGGCGCACTTTACAAAGCATTTTTCCACAAGTTATCATGGATATGATTTTAATCATCTTACAAAGAAAAACAGCAAAAATAATATAAGACTGTTACTTTTATTGATCATCCCTTGACCGTTGGTCTCTAAGCCACGTTAACTCATTATGGACCTTATGTTACAGTTACGATACCAAACTGACCCATTAATACACAGTAATCCACAGCCCCTTACTTGAAATATTTTGAGCCAGATGTGTTTCAAAATTCAGAATGTAATTCAAATACTGTATTCTATCTGACATCACAACAAAGCCTGGACATCACCTGTAACCAAACAGTAATATTCCTACAGTGAAATACATGAATAATCACTTTTAAGTAGAATAAATAAATACCTCTCTTCAGTTTAGGTCAGGTTTTGCCACCAAATGAATATTAAAAACACTTTAGACTTTCAGGGCTTTGTCCCATTTTGGAATTGTAAACAAAGGACTGTGGCCCCAACATGACCAGGGTCCAGGCAGGAGCCATGTGCTGATGGGGCCGCTCATTTCCCAAGGGGCCACACAGGTGTGTGCCCGCCTCTCTTCTTTTGCATTTGTAACATTAGTTGAAGTCATTTCAGAGTGAACTCAACGTGTTTACCTACGAGCCGGTGACATGATTTTATTGTATTTTTCCCGTAGCAGAGGATCCATTCCTTTCTTCAGATTCTTAAAAAAGCCCAGTGGCCCCCAGAATGTTAGAAGCCATCACCCTGCAGCAAGTGCGCACACTGGGAGAGCTGCAGCCAGTCCTGCTGCGGGGTTAAATGCACACACACGGCTTCAGTGCCTGGGGGCCGTAGGGAGGCTCCCTTCAACACAGGTACTATTACCGAGACCCCGCCAGAGAGCCCCCAGCCGCCACGCGCTTCAGGGCACTTGATCCTGTAGCACTGGCACACCCTCTTGTGCCCGAGTCCCCTGTCCCCCCAGAACCCTGGAGCCATGAGCTCCCCGAGGACAAACAGTTATCTCACTGTTGGAGAGCCGGCGCCCAGCACGCAGCACATACAGCGGCCGGTGGGTGACGCTCTGCTTCCCGGATGACGCAGCCCACTCTTTTCCAGATTCTGGAGAACACCCTGGAGAATCACATAGACCATTCCTCCCTAAAGCTGGCTCTTGAGCGGGCAGAGGAGCTTTGTTCCCAAGTTAATGAAGGAGTTCGGGAAAAAGAAAATTCAGACCGGCTGGAGTGGATCCAGGCGCATGTTCAGTGTGAAGGTCTTGCAGAGGTGAGGCCTGTGGGCCTGAGCTGGGTGCCACTAGGCAGGCTCTGGGTGGGGAACCGGGTTCAGGCCTCCCCTACTGTGAACAGTACACGCCTCAGCCCAGCCCCTGTGGACTCACCATCCTGCCTCTTCTTGGGGTGTCATTTCCCTTTCTTATAAAGAGAAATTGGATATTTTTGAATTCTTCGAATTCAGCTGGTAAATCCGTATTCTGTGGATATAAGTAATCATTTTCATGGTGCCAGTTTGAACTCTGAAGAAAAATAAATGCAAGAATCTTTTGTGTCAAGAGGAATGATTACAGCCACATTCCCAACTAGAAGATTCTACCACTGCACCCTCAGGTCCAGGGCACGGGCCTCTCGAGGGGCACGGGGATGGTTTGTGCCGGGACTTACAAAGCGACAATTTCTCTTTAAGCAACTTATCTTCAACTCCCTCACCAACTGCCTGGGACCCCGGAAGCTTCTGCACAGTGGGAAATTATATAAGACCAAGAGCAATAAGGAGCTACATGGATTCCTCTTCAACGACTTTCTGCTCCTGACCTACATGGTCAAGCAGTTTGCTGTTTCCTCAGGCTCTGAGAAGCTTTTCAGCTCTAAGTCCAATGCCCAGTTCAAAATGTATAAAACGGTAAGTGTTGCGTTCCTGGCCGTGGCATCAGGAGCATAACGAGGGGTTTCTGTCACCTCGAGGACCTCCTTCCCAGCCTGAGCCTTTATCCTCGTGGGACTCTCTACACCTGTCTCCAGACGGGTCCCTCCCCCTTCCTCGTGTCCCAGGGAGGAGGCCCCAGTGTGGCTGGGCCCTCACTGCCCTCTGGCAGCTGACGGCTGGATTCCAGCTGTGGATTCTGGCCTCCTCCCTGGCAAACATGCCGTGTGATCCCACCTCCGTCCACATTCAGCATCAGGTCTCTGTGAAACTGAAGCCGGAGCAGAGTGCTCAGTGTAGGAATGTGGAGGAGAGACCCTGTCCCATGAGCAGTCATGGACACTCAGAGCTCCTGTCCCCAGTTCAGGAACCTCTGATCTGCCCAAGATGTTTTCTTCCACAAAATGGACACAGTCTCTTTTTCCCAAAGTAAAAGACTCGAGAAGCTCGACCCTTCTCTGCTTCTCAACAAGGCTCTTCAGAACCAAGCTCTCCCGACATGTAGGCGGGTGGAGGGTTCTGGCACATCTCACAGCCTGCGTTTTGGCCCTCTTTCAGCCCATTTTCCTGAATGAAGTCTTGGTGAAACTGCCCACAGACCCTTCCAGCGATGAGCCTGTCTTCCACATTTCTCACATTGACCGGGTCTACACCCTCCGAACAGACAACATTAACGAGAGGTCAGTCCTGACCACGTGTGACCTGCCTTGAAGGCTGGATGGCTCCCTCCCATAAGCCACCTCCAGTCCAGGGTCAAGTCCCACTCATTCTGCACCCCAGGCTCTCCTAACCAGTCCTGTCCACCCTAGTCCCACTGGTCAGCCTTGGTGTGGACGTGCCGGGTTATTGCGATCACCTCAGTGTGTGTCCCTGCCTCCAGTCTCTCCTCAGGATCTTCCAAAATGGGAGATCCAGCACCTTGCTTCCTACAAAATCCCCCATGCGGCAGTCCGGGCTCCTCCGCCCGGTCGCTGAGGCTGTGTGTGTGTGTGTGTGTGTGTGTGTGTGTGTGTGTGTGTGTGTCTCGGCCCCAGCACCATCCCTCCACCCCCAGGACCTGTGCTCCAGCCGGCACGTCCGCCCTCCTCCTGTGCAGCCCCCGCAGCGCAGCTCGGCACCTGTGATGGCAGGCTGGGGGCGCGCCTCCCCCTCTGTGCACCTGCTGCTGGGCCCAATTTCAGGTCAAGTGTCCCTCTGTGGTGCTGAATTGCTACTGCCGCGGCGCGCTGCATCGTCTCCCCCGGGCGCCAGCACCTTGCCAGTGCCTGGCGTTCCATGAGCAGTCAGTGACTGTCTAGAAATTCCCAGCTTGGTCTTCAAACAGCAAACAAGTCTTTCAGTTGAACGAATATCAGGTCTGTGATTGGAAGCTTGTCGAAGCCAAGGTTAGCACAGGAGTGAAGAGCGAGTGCAGAGCTCCGGAGCTCCCAGGTGAGCCTGGGAGCTGTGTGGGGAAGCCGCCCCATGGCTGTGTTCTTCTCCAGGACTGCCTGGGTCCAGAAGATCAAGGCGGCATCCGAGCAGTACATTGACACGGAAAAGAAGAAACGGGAGAAAGCTTATCAAGGTAGTGGGTGGTGCCCTGAGGGTTGGAAGCAGCTGCCAGGGGACCCCGGGGAGGGGGAGGGGGAGCGGTCCCATCCTCAGGACACAAGCTGCCGCTCCTGCGGGGAGGGGGCTAAACAGGGACAGCCGGAAGGACCACACTTGCGGCGGGATCAGACAGCAGAACCCCCCTCACTGCTGCTGCTGCCCTCAGGGCCTCCCTGAACCCCTACCCACTACACAGATGGGGGCATCCAGTGCCAGCCCTGGGACCTCGCTTCTCTCTGTGGCAAGCCCACTTCTGCTTGGTCCATTTTACTTCACCCAACTTCACTTCTGTGCCTGTTTGCCTTCAGCTCTGCTCCTCCTCTGCTCCCTGGGCCCCTGCCCCAGGCCTGCCCCAGGCCTCCCCCACGTCCACCCATGCTCCTCCCTTGACACCGGGGCCTGAATCTCAAGGTTTTCCTCCTCCTCGCCTGCGCTTCACCACACTTGCTGTCCCCACCCTGTGCAGATGGCTCCCTCACTTGACACCAGTGACCAAACCCACGGCGCCACTCACTCTCCCCCCTGAGCAACCCCCCCACACACCCAATGGCAGGAAGTCAAGGCCCCTCCTCCGCTTGTACCTGGAGCTTCGCCCTCGCCTAAGCCTCTCTGTCCCTCTGCTCTCTCAATTTCATGGAAGTCATGCTGGGCTGCTTCCCTGAGCCCACACCCCAGACACACCTGGACTTCTGCCGGACAAATTCTTACCCCAGACTCAGGGCGCAGCCCCACTTCTCCCCTCTCCCTCTGCCTCGCCCACACCACTGCCTGACTGAACAAACCACCTCAGATCACACCCGCCCCCAGGCCTTCCCTGTCCAGTCCTCCTCCCCCTTATGTTCCGCTGCTGTAGCCGCAACTCTGTTTTTTTTATTCAGGTTTCCCTTATTTTGTTATATACTCTTGAAAGGTATGTGTAAATTGGCTTTTGCTGATTGAATCTTATTTTAATGGTACTTCAAATGCTTGCTATTGAAAAATCAATGACTGAATGATTTGTAAAGCATATAACGATCTCTTAAATTGGTAAAAGACATAAATCAGAGTTTTTCTATTCGTTTTGCTTAACATCAATACCTACACATATTGTTATGCATTTTCTAGATGTTCAATTCTTTAGACATTTATTACTTACTCTGTGCCAAGCCCTGTGCTAGTCCTAACCGGGCCTTCAAAGATGAATATGGCCCAGCCCTGCCTTTGAGGGGAACTGAGTGTAAGGGCCGCGCTGGAAGGGTTGGCAAGAACAAGGGGGGGCCATGTCTCATAGAGAAAGTTTTACATGCCCTAAGTTTTGAAAAATCAGTAGCTCACCAAGCAGCCTTTTTGTTTTTAAACCCTTGAGGGCAAAACCTGCTTAACTTCCTATTTGCCAAGATAATCTGAGTTCACAGACTCATTTTGAGTACACCCTCAAATAGAATAAGGTCTTAAGTGAAACTGCTTTATAAGCTGAAGTGTTTACACGTAACTGGAATGATGGTGGGTGGCTCATAGACGTTGGCACCGGATGGTGAATTTTTACCTTGCCAGTGACGGCCCTTTCTCAGACTCAGTTCTGCCCTGTGCAGAGATGGCAGTTCCCAACAGCCACCCTATAGCATAACTGTACAGTTTAAGACTTTTGTAGAGGTCTAGCACCGTGCCCAACACAAAGTATTCAATAAATGTTAGCTGCTTTTAAGTGCCGAATGGATATAATGTCTTGTTACTGTTGCCAGTTGCTAGGCGACTGAGGGTAAATGCAAGGCTGAATAAACACCAGCTCTGCAGCAGCCTCTGCTGGCAGAGGAGACTCGGGGACGCTCGCAGCCGGGGATGGTGGATGCCCAGAGGAGGGCAGAGATGGGAGTAAAGCTGGGTATGCATCTCCAAGGCTGGGTAGGACGCAGACAAGCAGAGATAGTGGACAAGGTGTCCCAGCAGGTGACACAGCCTGGGCAAAGGCAGAGCAGCCAGATGCTGGTCGGCCAGGCCCAGTGCCGTGGCAGGGGACACTGGGAGTGTTAGGGTCAGTTAGACAGACTGTATCTACAGCTCAGTGTCCGGCGCGCTACCTGCAGGCTCAGGGAAGAACTTAACAGGGCTTGTCTTCCTCTCTTGCAGCTCGCTCTCAAAAGACTTCAGGCATTGGGCGTCTGATGGTGCAGGTCATCGAAGCTACAGAATTAAAAGCCTGTAAACCGAATGGTAAATGCTTCTTTCATTCAACAGAAGTGGTAACTGCCCTGTTCTTTGCTGATGACTCTTCTGAACATTGAATAACAGGACACTTAAAAAAATCAGTGTTTCCAGTGCCACTAAAATGGTTGTTGGACCAATGTTATCATCAGTGTGTTTTCCCAGTAAGTTCCAGTGCCTCCCTCCTCAGCGCGTCAGAGTCGAAGCCACACTGACACTTGCCCAGGCTCGTGGGGAACAGTTGGGGCCCTGGAGCCCACACGGTTGCTCCCAGGCTTACGGTGCTGTCAGCACTGGGGACACGGAGACCACCAGGCACATCTGGGCCCCCACACAGTGGCTCCTGCTCTTGTGGTTTGGATCCCGCTTCTGCTCAAGAAAGGCGCTGTTGTCATTTATTTTACCTACACATGCCACATGCGTCTTTGGTTTGTTTTTGTTCAGGAAAGAGCAATCCATACTGTGAAATCAGCATGGGCTCCCAGAGCTATACGACCAGGACCCTCCCGGACACGCTCAATCCCAAGTGGAATTTTAACTGCCAGTTCTTTATTAAGGATCTCTACCAAGACGTGCTGTGTCTCACCATGTTTGACAGGGACCAGTTTTCACCAGATGGTAAAGTATAACTCGACCAGGGAATCCGAAGTTTCCCCAGTACTCTAGAATTTGGGGCCTAGGTCCAGGGTACTTGGCTTTATTTTTACCCCGTGACACCTAAGGAAAAGGACACGGGCCCGTGGGCACCCGCAGCTCCCGTGGGAAGCAAGGCTAGGGAGGGGGTGTCCTCTCAGGGGCAAAGGGTGGCCTCCAGGGTATTTCCATTATGGACCCCAGTCCCTCCCAGCACCTCCTGAATGGCTGACCCATTCTCTGGAGCCCAATGAGGCAGTTTCCCTCCCACACACCCCTCATTCTGCACGCATCCAGTCACAGTAACAGCCACTAAGCTGGATCTGAAAGTTTTAAGAATGTCTTCAGACACTCTTCCTGGGGTAGTTTTCTTTAACGACTTTTATAAAGAAGAAACTTTGACTCTCACATGTCTGTTCACCAGATTTCCTGGGTCGTACTGAGGTTCCAGTGGCAAAAATTCGCACAGAACAGGAAAGCAAAGGCCCCACAACCCGCCGACTCCTGCTGCACGAGGTCCCCACGGGGGAGGTCTGGGTCCGCTTTGACCTACAGCTTTTTGAGCAAAAAACTCTCCTGTAGGGACCTCAGGGATCTGCCCAAAAGGCTGGGGCTAGAGCCAGATGGACGGTGCCGCACCTGGGCCGAAGGAGCACCACCGGCTTCATCCATCGTGGGCCACGCATGCCGGGGCTATTTTCTTGCACACTAAATTGCTAGCAATCTATGCAAACATGATCTTTCCTATAAATAAACCAAACCCATAGCACAGTGCCTTGTATTAGTGTTAACATCTTTGGCTGTTTTTAGATGCCAGGGTTTCCATTTTCAGGGCTATAAAAAGTATTAAGTGGAAATGAGGCATCAGAACACCAGACGCTACCCCATGGTCGAACGTGCCCAGGGCGGGTGGTTCTGGTGATGCTGTAGTACCCCGTGCCGGGGGCCTGTGTCGGGCCACAGGTGCTCAGGAGGTGGCGGACCGGGAAGGGTCGGCACAGCCTCAGGCTGAGGTCTGTCTACTCTGTGCACTGAATGAAAACACAGACTTGATCATTTTATTCCCGATTAGATTGTATCATCTCTGCTGAGACAATAGAGTTTGAAATGTAAAGGGGAAAGCTTGATTTACTTTAAATACTGTGAACTCTAATGATATGGAAATATTTTTCAACTTTAATTTTCTGAAGTATAAATTATTTATGTAAATTCCTCGTTTTGCCTATTTCATAGGACATGCATCTTTAAGCTTTATCATTGCCAATATGTACAGAAAGAATAAAAATATAAGTTTATGAATGTAACTTCTTTCAAAGTTTGATTTAATTTCCACCTGAAAGGCTCTTAAAAGGTAAGTTCAGGATGCTTGCGTGGCTCAGTCCTTAAGCGTCTGCCTTCGGCTCAGGTCATGGTCATGATCCCGGGGTCCTGGGAACAAGTCCTGCATCGGGCTCCCTGCTCAGCGGGGAGCCTGCTTCTCCCGCTCCCCCTGCTTGTGCTCTCTCGGTTGCTCTCTCTCTCTCAAATAAATAAAATCTTTAAAAAATATAAAAATAAAAGGTAAGTTCAGGGGTTGCTGGTAATGAAACCAAATTTCCTTTCTGTGAGGGCGGCAAAAACCAAGGGCAGCGTGGGGAGGGGGAGTGCCTAGGAGACCCTGCAGCCTCGTCTTGACTCGCACTTGCTCTAGGACTCTGGCACATTTACCTACTGTTTCTGTGGCTTGGTTATCTTTGGTGGTGAGACTGCTGACCTCTGTGGGAGCAAGAGCCTTTAAGTCCTTCTGCTTGCCAGGTGAGCAGGAACCTGAGAGGTAACTTAGACATTACACATCCTCAGCAGGCCCTCAGCCTCCAACTCCAGCAGCACCTCTCTCTCCCCCTCCCCTGTCCTGTCAGAGCCACATCTACACCATCGGAGCTGCTTGTTTGGGCTCTGGATTTTGAAGTATGCAATTTGTTTTGAACATAACATTGACAAAAATAAGTTCTTACCCACTAAATCCCTGGGTTAATGAGCACAGCTGGAAAGAGTGGTCTTTTGGAAAGAACCACACAGGCTGCAGGTACCCTGATTCTCAGGGAGCTGGAAGAACAAGAAACATTCAGATGTCCCTCCACCCCAGTCCCCATTTCTGTCTAAACAATCACTGGGCAAAGAAAGGCTGGAAAACATAATTCAGAATATTCAAGTAAAAAAAAATCATAATTCCAGGTATTAATCCTGGACGCTGACTTGTTAAAACTTAGATGTAAAAGAAATATGGCCCAGTGTCAACAGAAGAGACGCCACTCAACATGTGAAACCAAAACAACTGGATATATTAATTAAGGAAAAGTTTGGCCAGTCAGGCACAGCCTCACTGATCTCCTAGAGGGTCTCCCATAGGGTCTTGAAGCAAGTTTTGTGTTGGTTTTGGAGGCAGGTATGGGCCGATGTCCAAGTCTGCCTCTGACTGGACTTCCAAAGCCTGAGACTGTCACTGATGGGTCATGCTGGTTTAAAACCAGTCCTGGGGTTACTTGTGACCGGAGCTACAGAATAATCCTTTTCTCGAGATGGTGAGGACTTGAATTCTCACTGGGATGAACTGTGGCTAGAGCCATTTCTCCATGTCTACATATGTCAGGGTTCTCTTCAGATTCAGGACAGAGGAGCCTGGAGGATGTGAGACAGACAACTTCTCTGAAACTTCAGAGGACATTCAATGTCTGTACTCCCAGCAACACCAGTCACCTGCTTCGACCTGCCCCTGAAAAATCAACTTCTCTCCTGACTGAAACGTGAGCTTGATTTTCTGAAGGGTGAGGGAACGGAGTGTGCCTTTAGGCTACTTGCATCCCCCGGGGAAGGACTGAGCAGACCCGAGGGATGCCCAGCAACCGCCACCCCACCCCCGAGCTCTTCAGGATCAGGATGCTGTGGCACACCAGCAGGATAACCACCCTCTGAAAGGGACCCAGATCCTGAGCAGTTTGACGCACATTACAGGGGTGAGGAGGGAGTGTGCTCTGGTGATCAGACCAGTACTTTGGCACCGGAGGGCCTGGACTTGGAATCGAGAACGCTGCCACGCCGACCTTGAAGAAGTTACTGAACCCCTCTGAGCTTCATGTAACGGGAGATAATACTACTATCTTGCTGTGAAGACTTTTACATGAATATAAAATACCTCACCTAGTTCACAACAGGAGCTCGATAAACGGTAACTATTATGATGTGCTTATTTCTTGCACTATCTTACACATCTGGAGACAGAAAAACCTGTCGGCAGCATTTTCACTGTGGCGCAGACGCTACAAACCAAAGCTCAGCGAAGCTTTATTGCCAGTGGCCTCCCTGCAGATGGCACGGTTCCTGGCAGCCCCACCCGCGCCACAGCTACAGGGAGGCCCGGTGCCGCCCCAGGGCCTCTGCCATCATCACTCTCCTTTCCACGGGCCGTCCCCAGCCGCCCAGGGTCGCGGTCTGTGCTGTCTGCTTACTCCAACCTATGAACAGAGGGAAGCACTGAGTGGAGGGAGAGGGGCTGGCGGGGGGGCAGGGAGGAAGGCCTCGGAGGATCCCCCCCAACACTCGACCCTCCTGCCTGAGCTGAGACCTTCCAGGCAGCCCTCTCCTCGCCTCTCCCCTGCTCTCTGGCTTCTGCAATGCTCAAGTCCTATGTCTTTGGACTCCACATGGTACTAACCTTTCTATGGTGGGACAAAGATGACCAGCTGTCCACAAAACACTTGCTCTCTCTGCCACTGTGCTCAGAGCGGCGAGGGGCTACTTTTCCCAGCACACTACCCCCCAAGGTTAGGGACAGCCATGTGACTGTCCTCGCCGGTTGGAACATGCGAGACCTGGCCCACCCACCCTCCCAGGGCAGCACTCCTCCATGACCTCTTCCGTTTTCAGGTGGACAGGAATGAGTTCCCCAGAGCAACCTTGGAATCTGGGCAGTGAAGATGACAAAGGTTCCCTCAGCCAGAGTCCCAGAGACTGCATAGAAGAGGGACAGCCTGCCAACCTGCCCTGTTCTGGCACCTGAGCAAGAAATAAATTTCTGTTGTGTATAAAACACACTCCGTTTTTTGCCTCTTGTGGCAACAGCAGTCAGGCTCCCCTGCCAGAAGGGCAGAGCTGACCACTGTCCCGTTCAGAACCGACTAAGGGACTTGGCTCTCAGAATTATTCCCAGAAGAAATTGCTGAAGGGGGCACCTGTGCGGCTCAGTTGGTTAAGCAGCTGCCTTCGGCTCGGGTCATGATCCCAGGGTCCTGGGGTCGAGCCCCACATCGGGCTCCCTGCTCAGCGGGAAGCCTGCTTCTCCCTCTCCCACTCCCCCTGCTTGTGCACTCTCTAATAAATAAAATCTTTCGAAACAAAAAAATTTTTTTTTAAATTGCTGAGGAGAGTGGTATGGAAACTTAACCATGTAAGGAAAATCCGTTTCTCTCTGAGAGACCAGGGAAAACAATGGGATTGGGTAGGACCTGGGTCACAAAATATCTAACAAGATTTTTGTGCTACAGAGAACTAGTCCCTCGTCCTCTGGAGGGACTCTCGCCTTGTGCTGGAGGCAAGAGTGGGGCATTTGGTGAACACAAAGATCCACTGCACTCCAGTCAGTCATGAACCCCTTAGAGTTCCCAGGCACCTGGAGGCTTCTCTGGAAGCATCCTCACCCTCTGGCATTAGGATACAGGATGTGGGAGAGGATGGAAGGGAAGATGTGCCGATCAGATTGTGAGCTCATGGTAAGAAACCTGTGCGTGGAAAATGCTTACATATAACATAACTTTCATGTATCTAAACCATCATGTGGCCTAATTTTTAGTATAAATTTCATTTCAGAGGATTCCCACCTATTGTGACTACACTAAGGAGGACAAATTTTTCTGGTCTGGGTTGGATGTCTAAATGGTAGAAAAATGGCAGATGAGCAAAAATTCCAGAAAAACACTGAGGAAATTTTAGAGGGCAGAACTCCATGGCCAGGGTTTCTCTCATCTTGTAAGGGCACAATCTGTCCCCAAAAGCAGGGTCCAGGATTCCCCAACATGGCTCCTTTTCTGAGTTTCCGGACCCCAGGCTCCCTGCCAAAAGCTGTCCCATCTATGCAGCAGCACCAAGCCCAGACACAAACCCATCATTTCTTGTGCATTAAATAAAGCCTCATCCTCCTCCTCTTTTTCACTCCCTTCCTTGGCTCCTGCCTTCTCTGCCCTGGGGAACCCGTGTGAGAAGGAGGGATCTGTCAGTGGCTCAGATTCCACAATCAACATCTGCTCTCTTGTGCATGCTGCAGACGTACGCCAGCCCCGCCCTGCTCCCCCCAGATCTCGTCCACTCACCACACAATTCTTCTCGTCCCTTTTAGTCTCCTGGCTGAGCTTCGAGGAATGAAACTTCCTTTCAAAAACAATCTGACTTAGGTCAGTAGTCTTGTTCTCTTTATCAGGTAGACATTTCTTTCCTGAATAGGTAAGTTTTTCAGAACTGCAAAAAACAAAACAAAACAAAACAAAACAAAAACACAGAAAAAAGGTATCTCAACTCCATACAGAATTGTATTGTTCAATAACTGTCTGAAAATTAATTTTTCAAACTCAGTACTCCCTTCTTGAAAAGGAAGGACTGAGTGGACATCACTTGGTGGCTGCCCATCAATCAGTCTGCCCCACACACACTTCTGCTGACACAACCATCAGACAGTCGTGTGACCCTTGTCTGCATGTGGCTGAGGAAGCCGGTCCAGGGCTTCAGTCCCTACAGTTATACGTGGCACAGGACGGCTTTCAGGCAGTCCCGGAGAGCCCAAACCAGAAACTCCGGCAGGCCCAAGGCATCCATTTTCCAGCACACGCACAAGAAAGCAGAGAAAGCCAGTGTGCAGAGAAAGGAAGCAGGTTCACAAAGAAGCTCTGATGAAAGCCACAAAGTCCCAAAGAGGAAAGGACATGGCTCTCGGTCCTTACGTAGCCTGGCTGTCCTCATGACTGCTATGGTCTGAATGTGTCCCCCCAAAATTCATATGTTGAAACCTAACCCCCAATGTGATAGGATTAGGACATGGGGCCTTTGGGGGCTGATTAGGTCACGAGAACAGAGCCCTCATGAACGAGTGCCCCTATAAAAGAGGCCCTAGAAAGCTCCCTCGCCCCCCTACCATGTGAGAACACAGCAAGAAGGTGCCATCTAACAACCAGGAAGGGGGTCCCCACCAGATACCGAATCTGCCAGCACCTTGATCTTGGACTTCCCAGCCTCCACAACTGTGAGAAATAAATTTCTGTTGTTTATAAGGCCCCCAATCTCTGGTATTCTGTTATAGCAGCCAAATGGGCTGAGACACTGACCGTAGCTTTGTAACAGACCATTGTTCTCTAACCTACCAAGGCTCCTCCCACTCCCCCTGCCTTTTTTTTTTTTTTAACTTAAGAAGGATTCTGCTTTTTGTAATTAAACTGTCTCTGACTAACATAGCCATCTTGTCTTTAAGTCCTTTTCTTACCTTACTGAGCAGCCATGTGGAGGCACCTCTGGGTGTGTCCTCCCAGAGGATCTCCCCAGGGCTGCCCCCATTCCTGCCCTGGGAAGCCCAGGCCTTTCTAGGCATATAAGCCTTCTCCTCCATTCCTCCATATACTTCTCCCTCCCTCCCGCCCTCCCTCCCTCCCTCCCTTCCTTCCTCCCTTCCTTCCTTGCTTGCTTCCTTCCTTCCTTCCTTCCACAAGCATTTTTACTCATCCTCTACTGCATTCCAGCTAAGTCCTGGGAACACCAACATAAAGACAACACAGTCCCTTCCCTCAGTGGGCTTGCTGGGGTAAGAAAAGGCAGATGGAGGGTGTGGTGGCATATCCCCACATGACACTTCCCTCTCTTGCCTGGATTGGGATGGCCAGCAATGAAAAGAAGGGGCAAAGGCAGGAACCAATGTGGCAGTTCAGGTAGTTATAACGGTGCTGACTTGACCCAGATATTTTTGTAGTTTATTCATATACCTTTTCTTTAAGGGAAAGGGATTCTGTAGATGAAGACAGAAAGGGTGGCAGGGTCCAGACAGCACCTAATGTGCTATGTTAAGAACCTGGATGTTATTGTAAGGGTTATGGGAAAATACTGAAGGGCTTTCAGTTGGAGAGGGTTGATCACTTCAGAGAGATTTCTCCAGCTGCAAGGTGGAGAATTCACTAGAGGACACCAGACTAAAGGAGCTGAGGAGCAAGAAAGTGGGAGAATGAGGAAATAAAGGCTTCGTCTCCCTGGGGGGATAGGGAGTTATATAATTATTAATGTTTAAATTAAAACTTAAAATTTATAAAGAAGCCAAGGAAGCAGAAATAAAACATAAAATTTCCAAATCAGAAGGGGAAACAGAAAGCAGCACTGTTCAATCCAGCAAAACGCAGGGTCAGAGACAAAAAGGAAATATCAAGAGAGCATGACAGGACTTCTATTTTTTTGTGTAGAACTTACAAGTTTGCACAGGCCAACACTCCTGCTGCAACAACTAGAAAAGCAGATATTTACCACCACCCCTAGAAAAAAAATTCCAAATTTTAAAGTCATTGGACAATTTCAGAGAGAAGAGAGCTCTTTCAGAATGAGCTGGCCATCCCTGGCTATTTTCTCTGCTGAGGGAATTTGCCAACCTCGGGTAGCAAGGTATGGACTGATTCCTGCATGGTCCCAGCATATCTTTGGTGGATTTTTTCTCCCAGGCCTGGTTGTTATCTTGGCAGGTAGGTAGTTAACCTTGTTCTCAACATCTTCCTCCCAGTGGTAGGCAAGTGCATTGAGATAGGGTCCCCGTGGGGGATGGAGACCCTCCAGGCCCTGAGACCAGACAGCCTTCCCCAAACCTATCTGAAAAAGAATCAAATAAAATGCTAGAGCTATAAAAATAAAACACCTGAAAATAACACACTGATGGGTTTAACAAGAGATTATTAGACACAACTGAAGAGATAATTAGTAAAATATCTAGAATCAAGTATACAGTAACAAAAAAAGATGGAAAATACACAAAAAATGGTAAGAAACAGTGAGGATACAGTGACATAGTGAGAAAATCTAAAATATGTTTAACTGGAGTACCAGAAAGAGAGGAGAGAGAGAATATGGCAGAGGTAATAAAGAGAAAATGAGAACTACCCAGAATTGATTAAAGACATCTATTTACAGGGGCGCCTGGGTGGCTCAGTCGGTTAAGCGACTGCCTTCGGCTCAGGTCATGATCCCAGGGTCCTGGGATCGAGCCCCGCATCGGGCTCCCTGCTCCGCGGGAAGCCCGCGGCTCCCTCTCCCACTCCCCCTGCTTGTGTTCCCTCTCTCGCTGTCTCTCTCTCTCTAACAAATAAATAAAATCTTTAAAAAAAAAAAAAAGACATCTATTTACAGGTACAAGAAAACCTATGAATTCCAAGTAGGATGAATAAAAAGAAATTCACATTTAGAAACATCATATAAAACTACAGAATGAATCAGACAACAAGAAAATGTTTAAAGCCCCCAGAGAAAAAGACAATTTTGTCAAAGGATCAACAGTGAGACCAGCAGCTGAGTTCTCAACTAAAAGAGCAGAAGACAGTGGGATAGGAGGAAAGGGAAGGTGGTGGTGGAGGAAGACCCTAGGCTCACCTTGTCCCACAAATACAACTAGATAACTATCAAATCATCCTAAATACCCCAAAAATCAACCTGAAGACTGACAGAACAACTTCCACAACTGAAGGTAGAGAAGAGGCCACATCAAAGAAGGTAGGAAGTGCAGAGACACACTATCTGGGAAAGAAACAGATCATGGCCGGTGGGAAGGGAGCTATGGTGGTGGAGAAGGATGAGAGCCAGACTAACGGGGGAAACAAATCCCTATAGTAATTGGCTTGGAAAACAAGAGGGGCTGAATTTCATGAGTTCTTGCAAGCAGTGGGACTTGAAGCCTGGAGTTCTAAAAGTCAGCATACTTGGCTCTGGGAGAGCTTGGAGGACATTGGGGGTGCTCTTGGAGAGAAGTTAGGGGAAACAGCCTGCAGATATATAGTATGGAAACAGTGATCCGAAGAGCACCTGGGGCACACAGTGGGGAGATTAGCTGTTCATCTCAGAGCATGTCCCAGAGGGGCAGCATTCACAGAGAGATGACTCAAGGAACCGAGGAACCAAGGAACCGGCAGGCACCATTTCCCTCCTGTACCCCTCAGAATCAGCACAGAGCCACCTGTGGGAACCAGCGCAGCAGTGACACTCTGCCCCACCCTTGCTCCAGTGGAACTGCCCTTTCTGAAGTCATGCCTCCCTTAGTCCCAGTGCAGCAGGCCCCCTCCCCAACAAGATGGGCACATACTTCTACCCACACCACATCTCCTGACCTGGGAGCTTTGCAGAGACTCAATTCCAGGGCAGTGGTGGCAGATCTCATTTAACAAGCAGACCAGAGACCACCTAGCTAAAATATACCACATTCAGACCAGGGACCAAACACGCCCACAACAGGCAAAGAGAGCCTCTGAAGATGACTGGCCTGAAGGATAAAGTAGTCAGGACAAAAGAGCAGAGTACACACAGCACACACTGGAGACACTTCCAGAAGTGCCAGGCCCTGGCGAACAGGAGACACTACAAAGCAGAGCACTATAGACCTCTTCCTCATAAGACCATTACCCTCAAGAACAGGATATGTAGTTGACTTTCCTAACACAGAGAAACAAGCATAGAGTCTTAGACAAAATAAGAAGACAGAGGAATTTGTCCCAAATGAAAGAAAAGGATAAGACCACAGCCAGAGATCTAAACAAATGAGATAAGTAACATGGCTGATGGAGAATTTAAAGCAATGATCATTAGGATACACTCTGGACTTGAGAAAACAATGGAGATATCTGTGAGACCATTAACACGGAGATAAGGAATAACATTGCAGAGATAAAGCGCTCAATAAACACAATGAAACACACACTTGATGGAAAGAACAGCAGGCTGGAAAAGCAGAGGAATGAATTAATGACCTAGAAGACAGAGTAATGGAAAGTAATCAAGCTGAACAAAAGAGAGAAAAAAGAACTAGGAAAAACAAGAAGGGACTTAGGGAACTCAGTGATTCCATCAAACATAGTAACATTTGTATTACAGGAGTCCCACAAGAAGAAAAGAAAAAAGGGCATGAAATTTATTTGAAGAAATAATAGCTGAAAACTTCCCTAATCTAGGGAAGGAAACAGATATCCATAACCAGGAGGCACAGAGAACCCCCAACAAAAATCAACAAAAGCAGATCCACCCCAAGACATATCATAATTAAAATGGCAAAATATAGTAATAAAGAAAAAATATTAAAAGCAGCAATACAAAAGGAGACAGTTACATACAAAGGAAACCCCATAAGGCCATCAGTGAATTTTTCATCAGAAACCTTCCAAACCAGAAAGAGTAGCATGATATATTCAAAGTGATGAATGGGAAAAACCTGCAGCCAAGAATATTCTATCCAGCAAGGCTAGGAGGAGAGAAAAGAGTTACCCAAACAGGGGTGCCTGGGTGGTGCAGTTGGTTAAGCGTTTGACTCTTGATCTCAGCTCACGTCTTTTTTTTTTTTTTTTTTTCAAGTTTTTTTTTATTTATTTGAGAGAGAGAGAGAGCATGAGTGGGGTGAGGGCAGAGGGAAAAGCAGACTCCCCACTGAGCAGGGAGCCCAGTGCGGGGCTCAATCCCAGGAACTCCAGGATCATGACCTGAGCCAAAGGTAGACACTTAACTGACTGAGCTACCCAGGCGCCCCATCAACTCAGGTCTTGATCTCAGGGTCCTGAGTTCAAGCCCCATGTTGGGCTCCATGCTGGGCATGGAGTTTACTTAAAAATTAAAAAAAAAAAAAATTTTCCCAAATAAAAACCAAAAGAGTTCATGGCCACTAAACCAACCCAGCAAGAAATACTAAAGGGGACTCTTGAGTGGAAAGACCAAAAATGACAGTGTGAAGGCAGGAAACACAAAAGCAGTAAAAATGAATATTTCCATAAAAAATCAGTCAAGGAACTCACAAAATGAAAGGGTGTATAAAATATGACACCATATACTTAAAACATGGGGAGGAGACAAACTATCCCGAAAAATACATAAGGAACTTCCAAATTCATTCTATGAAGCCAACAATACCCTGATACCAAAACCAGATAAAGGCACCACAAAAAAAGAGAACTATAGGCCAATATCTCTGATGAGCATAGAGGCAAAAATCCTCAACAAAATATTAGCAAACCAAATCCAACAATACATTAAAAAAAATTATTCACCACAATCAAGTGGGATTTATTCCTGACATACAGATGAACTAACAGACATGTGAAAGATGTTCATCATCACTTATCATCAGGGAAATGCAAATCAAAACTACAATGAGATGTCACCTCACAACTGTCAGAATGGCTAAAATTATAACAACACAGGAAACAACAAGTGTTGGCGAGGATGTAGAGAAAGGGAAACCCTCTTACACAGTTGGTGGGAATGCAAACTGGTGCCGCCACTCTGGAAAACAGTATGGAGGTTCCTCAAAAAGTTAAAAATAGAACTACCTTATGATCCAGCAATTGCACTAGTGGGTATTTACCCAAAGAATAGAAAAACACTAATTCAAAGGGATACATTAGTCCTGGGACCTATATTTACAGATTTATAGCAGCATTAATTACTATAACCAAGATATGGAAGCAGCTCAAGTGTCCATTGATAGATGAATGGATAAAGAAGATGTGGGGTGTGTGTGTGTGGGAGAGAGTGTTTGTGTGTGTGTGTGTGTGTGTGTGTAATGGAATTATTATTCAGCCATAAAAAAAGAATGAAATCTTGCCATTTGCAATAACATGGATGGAGCAAGAGAATATAATGCTAAGTGAAATAAGTCAGAGAAAGACAAATACCATACGATTTCATTTATATGTGGAATTTAAGAAGCAAATGAGTGGGGCGCCTGGGTGGCTCGGTCATTAAGCGTCTGCCTTCGGCTCAGGTCATGATCCCAGGATCCTGGGATCAAGCCCCACATCAGGTTCCCTGCTCCGCGGGAAGCCTGCTTCTCCCTCTCCCACTCCCCCTGCTTGTGTTCCCTCTCTCGCTGCGTCTCTCTCTGTCAAATAAATAAATAAAATCTTAAAAAAAAAAAAAAACGAAGCAAATGAGCAATGGGGGAAAAAAGAAAGAGAGAGAGAGAGAGACAACCCAAACCCAAGAAACAGACTCTTAACTATAGGGAACAAACTGACAGTTACTAGAGGGGAGGTGGGTTAGAAGATGGGCTAAATAGGTGATGGGGATTAAGGAGTACACTTGTCAAAATGAGCACTGGGTGATTAAAATACTTATTAAAAAATAAAAATCCTGTGGGAAAAAGTCTTTGAAGTTGTTATCATAGGAAGAAGATAGATAGATAGATCAATCTGCTATTAGTAACACCTACTGGAAAACTTGGTTAATGCACTGGGACCATCTTTTTTTTTAAGATTTTATTTATTTATTTGAGAGAGAGAGAGTGGGAGAGAGCACAAGAGTAGGATGAGGGTCAGAGGGATAAGCAGACTCCCTGCTGAGCAGGCAGCCCGACGTGGGACTCGATCCCGGGACTCCAGGATCATGACCTGAGCCGAAGGCAGTCGCTTAACCAACTGAGCCTCCCAGGCGCCCTAAAAAATTTTTTTTTTAAATGGGGTGCTATCCTACAGGTGTGAATGGATTTTCTTATCAAGTTCCTATATGTTGATTAAAACCATCTTCTGGGTAGAATAAAAAAAAATAACAGCAGATATCTACTAAAGGAAAATAACTGTCAACCTAACATTCTTAATCCTGTGAAAACATCCATTAAGGATGAAGGTAAAATCTGGAAAAGGCTATATATATACTGTGTGATTCTAACCATACGACATTCTGTAAAAGGAAAAACTATAGAGAGAGTAAAAAGATCCATTAGTCAGTTAGTACATCCTTAACTGCATTTACTATGAGTTCTGCTTATCACAGATCTCGCAGAGGCTTTATGCCGCTCTTTTGGAATAACACTATGTAGAGTAAAAGTGAATTGGGGCAATTTGGCATAAAGCCCAGCCTTCTCTAGGTCTTTAAATTCTTTTAAGGTATATCCTTTTCCTACAGGAAGATTAAAAAAATAACTAAATCAACACTCTTAAAGTCAACTCTAGTCACTCTTGGGGTAGGAAATCACCGGACAATTAGAAGTCTCTAAAAACAAAGCCCGGCGGTTGCAAAGCACCTGTCTCATACTGAATAACAGCTCTCTTCTCTTCATGCATCTCTTGCTGTCTTCTAAACAGAGGAATCACAAAATGAGAGGGCCATAACGTACAAGAAAAATAACTTTGAGGATCCTAGTACAGTTTGTATTAAGCTCTCTAAATCTGTTGAAGCATTCAAATATGACCTTATTGTACATCAAAGAATAAGGACCCATGAGCAATGTCAATCCACAGAGCGGGGAAAGGGTAAATGTCATCTGTCTTACGATAGGACATTCTGCTGAGCCAGGAGTGGCTGACTGGAGGGAGGGCCACCCAGATAGAAGCAACATACTCTGTCAAGAGTTCTTTGCATCGGCCAATAAATATTTGCTGACACCACTTTGTGCCACATCCCAATGAGTTCCTGTCCTCCAGGATCTCTCAGTCTGGAACAGAAAGCCATACACAGTGACAATCTAGTCATGAGAGGTATCAGCTCAGGATGCTTTAGGAGCACAAGGCAGCGCTCCTAGGTGGCCTGGCAGTGAGAGAGCTCCCGGGAGACCTGACAAGCGGTCTTTAAGGATCTGTGAGAACAGAAGGGCAGGGAACCTCAGTGTGGGGAGTGTCAAGAGGCTGGGCTACAGAGGATGCAGAGAAAGGTGGCTTTCTCCTCCGCATTCCTGATTATAGGCTTTAGACTAGGGGCCATTTTCCCCTTCTTCACTTTCCTCCATACACCAAGCCCGATGCTGGTCCTCAACGTATGTATGGGGTAAACAGTTACTGAATGAGCAAGGCAGCAAAATGACTGACCAACACCATACTAGCAAGTTTCCCAGAGCCAAAAGAACCTTCTTATCTTCATAACAGTGATCTGCCTTGGTTTTCTGGGAGAAGCAAAACAAAAACACAAAACACCACTTCCCTCTTCAGAGCCACACATATTTTTTAAATGACTTCTAATACCAGGTGGTTACTTTTGCTACACAGGAGTAAAACGCTGGAACCTACATCTCAAAATTTTAACTCCTATATCGGTGAGTTTGAAATGTGAAGACTCATTATCAGCCCAACTACTGGTTCTCTTGGCAGCCTTTCCAGCAACCCTCCTTCCACTCTCCACAGAAAGGAGTTCTGCCTCCTGGGCCAGTGCCCCCCGCACTGTGACACCTGTCACACCCCACTGCACTTCCTCTCCCTCCTGGGCTTCAGTTTGCCGAATGGGAGTGAAGGAACACACACATGTAAATTCCCCAGTCGGTGAAATTACTGTAGGTTCCTGTTCTAAAACTCAGAGGAGGGGTGCCTGGGTGGCTCAGTCGGTTAAGCGACTGCCTTCGGCTCAGGTCATGATCCTGGAGTCCCGGGATCGAGTCCCATGTCGGGCTCCCTGCTCAGCAGGGAGTCTGTTTCTCCCTCT